CCAAAAAAAGTTTCCTATATTATTCAAAAATCAGAAACTGAAAGTGTTTAGACTTTAAATAAAGCAGGAAATAATCTAGTTTGGGATTAAAACATATTTCATTGATAGATTGAATGAATTGTTGCAACACATCGTCCATTTAAGCACTTACATGAAACAGGAGACTTCCAGAAATGCTAGCACAAATTATGCCCATACTCTACTTCCCGGGACTTCAATAAATAACTCATCAGTGATCAACATAGAAGAAAAGAGTACACAGCAGCAGAATATAGGAAATTACTTCAAAGAACAATAGCTAGGCCTTCCTTCTTTGAAGGTACTATCGCATTCTTATTTCCGGGGAAAGCACTGTGAGAGACATCCACGAGGGCCTTGAAGCTGTATGGTTCGTGCATCGACAATTCTGACAAGACTTTCCTGTTCAGCTGTATGTTCTCCTTCATCAGCCCGTGCATGAAATTGCCATAATTTACCTAGAAATAGAGTAAATGTTAAACAAATGGAATTAACTCAGGACTCGAATCAAAAAATTATTTAGTAGATGACACAAAGGTGCTTTCTGTTTACTTGTAGTGAGATGTGCTAATAAAAATCATTTAGGAACATCAGATATGAATAGATGACAGATAAAGTGATAATAAAGGCCAAAACTCTCCACAAACATATTAAAGCAGCTCACTACAGTTAAAAGTACCCTGCTGAATCTTCTCCTTATTACGCAGCTGAACGAAAGAGAGTTTCATATACTTTTGGTGCTGATAAGTTTAGGGAATAAAAAAGGAGTACATCAGAAAACAGAAGAATGAAGAAAAGAAGATATAAATGATCACAAAACCTAATTATCTAATCAAGGGGATTAATATATCACTCTCTTTGCAATCCTGTTCTACCTTAAAAAATGTACAAGAACGGATAGATTAACCCAATGCATCCGACAACATGATCCCGAAAAGTAATGAATTTCACAGTTAATATATTAGATGGCAGCATGTACGGCTGCAAGTGCGGCACATGCAAAAACAAGCAAAGGATATCCGTGCCAGTTTGGAAGTGAAGTCACTTTGGGAACTTTTCATGTTACTTAAGGATACCTTGCGGCACCTACAAAATTCATTTCTCTTCCTTTTGATCATATCAAGGCAACAATGCAATATCTTCCAACTATGAGGCTACGAGCTATATATTTCATTGCTTAATTGGCATTTGGATAGTCAAACAAATATTGATTTGCAGACTTTCCACAATGCTAAAGAAGATAGAGAGTAGAAGATTTTTCTCATCTACCTAAGCCACCTCGGTGGCAGAGTTACCCGGTTCTTGTACTGGTGGAAGGTAACGGGTAACCGGTAAAATAGTCGAAGAGCGCTGAAGCTGACTCGGACACCAACTTTGTAAAGGAAAAAAAAGAGAGAATAAATGGATATTGAAACACCCAAGAATCTCAGTGTTCTACTGCTATGCAGATATATTATTCCAAATACTAGGATGGTGACCTCGAAAAGCAACTTGTAGGGTAAAGAGCTTGATTCTGCAAGATTTTATAACTGTAGAGTAGAACTTAGAAAATGTATATTTTTTTCCAAATCCTCCATGTCCAAATCTCTAAAAGCAAATAGCGGAAAGCTTAACAGGATCATGAAGCATAAGAACGTCACCTTATTCATATCTGTAAGCAATTGGGAAAAAACAACCATTCAAAAAATACAATGTTGCTTCTGAAAAATAGCAGAATATCTAAGATAGGAACTATTAGAGAATTTGTCTACCATGACATACTCCACTTTGTGATTCTGCAGCCATTTTAGCGTTGAGAACTGAAACTTTGTTTTNGAGACAAATATAATAGCATTTGTATTGACACACTTCGTTCTCTTGAGCCGAGGGTCTATCGGAAACATCCTCTCTACCCCTCGGGGTAGAGGTAAGGTCAGGGTACACACTTCACTCCCCAGACCCCACTTGTGGGATTTTACTGGGACGTTATTGTTGTTGTTGTTGTTGTTTGTATTGACACACTTCAAGAAGCCTTTTCCAAAACAAGCTTCCTTATGTCGAGAAGGTTCGGAGGAAGCATTTGTGTCCAAGGATTATGGGACTTAAGTCCTCTAACCTTCTCTTTTCACTCCCTGTTCCCTTTGCTTCTTTCACACCATAATTTCCAAAATTCACTCCACTGAAAGCTGGCTTCCAAAATATCGGTCTCTCTACAAGTGTGAATTTGTGGATATAATACAAGGTATTTTTATCAACACAGATGTATTATTATTTTTGTGTTTTATTTTGGGTCTATTAAAAACCAAGATATCTGTTGCTCCAGTTCAAAACTTGTGGATATGAACCTTCCTTCTACCCTTCTCTACAAGGTTCATAACTACTACTCTTAAATACCAGACTTGTTCACCAACTAGGACTTAAATTCTTGATGTGCTCTTACCACACAACCGGCACAGTACTACTTCGCCATCTAACCAAAATCCTTGTGGCTAATCCTCATATTTTACAAATTTCAAAGAACTTTTCAGTTTAAATCCAACTCAACTTAAGAGAAATTTCAAAGACTTGTTTATGTCATTCTTGCAAAAGACCTTATTAGTCTAATAACTCACTTCTCGCTTC